CGTGAGAGAGGCAAGGTGAGCAGTGGGATGTCTGGGAAGGTGTTCCAGGGGCAGCTGTTGCACAGTTGCTCCTCCATCCTGGTTGTGCTCCACTGCTGTCCTCAGGCTGTGTCCTGTGTGCCTTGTGCCCTGCTCCAATGGCCCAGTTCTGGGTGAGAGCCGTGAGTCCTGCCTGCTGAAAAGCTAAAAGAGACCACAGTCTCCCTGTGTGCTTCCCACATCGCTCCTTTCCTGGTATCCAGCTAGGAAAGGTGGCTGAGCCTTTTGACTCGCACAGAGGAATGCTTGTCACCTCTGAACTCTCAGAATTAGTCAGCTTCCTGTGTCTGGATTTTCCTGTGTGTGGATTTTCCATAAAATGAAGAAAATACATTAAAATGTCCCTGAAGCAGTGGAATTCTTTTTCCTCTGTTTTGACTTGAGGACAAAACCAGAGAGCAATGTAAGAGACTGTTTGACGTGGTTGGCTGTTCCATTACTGTTGAATAGGAAGATGCTGATGTTTCCTTTGGAGTCTGTTTTAGAGTCCTACCACTGTTTATGCAGGTAGAATTTTTTCTTCCTGAAGTAAACTGTTTTACTATGACCATGATGGCTTTTTAATTGGGCTGCAGCTGGTGCTGGATTTGTGCTGAGTTGGAGACCGAATTACATCTTTAGAAAAAGCATTTTTTGTGGGTTTTTTTGTTGTTGGTTTTCCCCCCCCCCCTTCAAAATTCAATCTGGATGGCTGGGGTTCTTGCTTGAGAGTACCAACAGCTGGAGGCCTTCAGTTCCCGTCACTCCTGACTGCAGATCTGAAGTTTTGCAGCCCTGAGCTCAACAACCCACCAAGGGAAGTGTGGTTTGACACGAAGTGGGATGTTTCATGACAATTCAACTCCTCTTCTGTAAACCCAATTTATTTGCTAGTTCTGAGAGAAGGATGCTGCTTCTGACGGGTGCTTGCAAGAGATGTTCATGAGGGAGAGATGGGAATGGCAAAGTCTAGTTTTTCAAATGAGACACCCTACAGCTAAAAATCTACTTGATTGATGTGTGTTTCATTGAGCTACTTAGTGTGTTGCAGCTTGTTATTGTCTTTTCCACTGTGCATATTTGAATAGAGACAGTGCTAATGACAAACCATTATTATACTATAAATAAAACATTATCCAGATTATGCTGGTCAACAGAGCATAAAACAAATAGCAAATTCTAATGTCCTTGAATTACAATTTAAAAAGAAAAGCAGCACTGGATGCTGATTTGCATGGAACACCTTTTCTAGTTGCTGTGAGAGTTTTTCCAGTTGCATCAGGATAATTCAGGGATTTGCTCGTTCAGCACTGCCCAGTAAATTCTCCCTAAAAAGTGCCAGCCCCAGGTTGCTCAGAGCACACAACTCTCAGCTCTGCTGTTTGCTGCCTTGCTGGGTTCTGTGGTACAGCATGGGCACCCCGTGTAAGGGCTCAGGGAGTGCCATGTGGGCAGAGAGCCCGCAGTGCCAGGGATCCAGTGACCAAGGCCAAGGAATTCATGGCAGGATCTGACCACTGGTGAGACCTGCAGGAAGATTCAAAGGCACAAAGGACAAAATCCTTCAGGGGAAAAGGAAAACCAGACTAAGTTACTTCCCTGTTCAAGGGGAAATGATTTAAAAAATATGGATGTGCACAGTCCCTGCAGCTCTGTACAGAATGCTGGCCAAAATAAAAAAGTTGATGCTTGTCTGCGTGTCATGAATGAGCTTTTTATTGGGATTTTTTTATGAATATCCATGGATGGTGAGAAGAGTAGGATATGTATTTACCAAGACGTTTAAATACTTATTTAATGGATTTAATATGGGCTCCCCAGGGAACTGGTCACAGCACCAAGCCTGCCAGACTTCAAGGAGCACTTGGACAATGTTCTTGTGCACATGGTGGGATTTTTGGAATTGTCTTGTGCGGGGTCAGGAGTTGGACCTGATGATCTCTGTGAGTCTCTTCCACCTCAGATATTGTATGATTCTATGATATTTGCATTGATATAAATGTGTGCAAAACTATCCTGTTGAGATTTGTATTTAATATGGGATGTATATTAAAAGCTTCTAGATTAAGTTGCTGCTGTCATAAGTTGTCATTGCCCACTTGAAACTCTTCCCAAAAAAGGTATTTAATCTTTGAAGTTTTTGATTTAAAATACTTTGAATAAGAGCCATAAGAGGAACAGTCACTGAGATTTGAAACTTGTCTGAAATAATCACCTGTTATACAGAAAAATGTTTTTAAAAATTTGGCCTGTTCTGTGTGAAATGAAATCAAAGTTAGTTCTGTTTATATGGGAAGTGTGAAATTTGACCCAATCAAGTCTGTCATTGTTGGGTTGTGTTTTGCTTACTTTGCTTGGTGTGAATAATTTCTTCGTAATCAGATTTTGACTACAATAAGATTTTAAGTGCTTTTTATTGCAGTGACTTTCTCAAAACTGATCTCAAAGAAAAATACTGCTTTGAAGTTGATTTGTACAGTATCGCAATTGGAAAAAGTGTGGTGGGAAGTTCTTGGGTGTGATGGAGTTTGGTACCAAGGCTCCCTCCCTCTGCTCCTGCTCTGGCTGCCAGGCTGACTCCTTGAGCCAAGGCAGGAGAGCAGTGTGAGTTTCTCCCATCCTTTGTTTTCCTGAGGCCTGGAAACCTCAACCTGGGAGGTGTCTGTGCTGCAGCCAGAGGACGTCTGTGGAGGAGGAGAATCCAGCTCCTGTTTGCATGTGAAACTGAGCAAGGGCTGAATCAGCAGTGGCCTGCTGTGTCTCCCAGCATGTTCCTGCTTGGGAATGTTGTCTAATTTAAACTAACCCCTTCACTTGCACAATTATTAAACAGTTCATGATTGTCTTCGTCAAAACATGCACTTCATTTCTCAGATATCACCTGAATAGTGTTGAACTCTGCCCAGGCCTGCACACAGTTCACCATAGCACATATTTAAATATCTCCTAGAAAAACAAATTCCAGCTGGGGAAAAATGTTCAGTGACGTGTTGCTGTGCCTTTGTGTCTTTATATATGCAAAATTTAAAAAAAAAAAATAAAATAGGCCAGAAGCAAGTGCCAGATTTAGTAAACTCTCTTTATTTACATACAAATACATGTACACATATGTGCTGTATATGTACACATATTTAAGTGTATATACATACATGGTTTCCACATACTCTACAATAAATAGCATGTAGGGTTTTCTTTTAATTGCCTACAGTGCTGAGTAAAAATACATGGCAATAAAATCATGGCTTACAGCTAAGTTACAAAAGCACCAACCACTGAACTCGTAGCAATAAATCCAAGCTCATGTACAGCTGGAGCAGGACACGCTATACAGAATACAAAGTAGACCAACTTGTAGGAATTGACAGGAATAGGCCAACTAAAAAACATCATTATAGACCAGGAGAGACTCTGTATGAAATAAGATGAAGGAAAACATTTAGATTATTGATCAAACTAAACCACACATTTAAATTTGTCACCTAAAGAGAAAAACAAATCAGCCAGTTAGTCGTATATTTTTAACAGAGTAATTTTTCTGTGTGAGTCTCTACCAAGGAAATCAGAATTAATCTCATGAGTGAGTCCTTCCAAGCTGCCATAGTCACTTGTCTGTGTGCACATCACTCAAACAGAGTACTTTAATAGTGCTTTATTTAAACTTCTTGAACCCTTCGTGCAGGTCTGATTGGAGGCAATAAAAAGCACTTCCTCAGCCAGCTTCTTCCACAGTACCTGTGACATCAAACTGTCACAAAGGGCCATGAGAGCAAATTGGCAGCAGCAGCAGGATCAATACCCAGAGAAAGCGCAGGGGATGATGCTGGAACCTGCATTGCCAGAGCCAACTGCTGTTGACTGTGGTGGGACAGCACCTGTCCTGTTGAAGCAAAACCACAGCTGGACCAGCCGTTGTTCTAACTGCACTGGAGGGATTCTGTTCTGCACTAGGGGAAAGCCTGGCTGAATATATTAATAGTTTGAAACCTGCTTTATGAGGTGAAGATGCATAGATTTCTGTTGCTCTCTCTCTTTGTCATGGCTGGTATTTTGACTCAAGCTGTGCAGTGCACTGCTAAGGAAGACAATTGATGTCATGAAGCAGAAAGCTGCTTGTTGTTCAGGTATCCTTGTGCTGTGATGTGTTTTCCTTGCTGCAACATATAATGCTAAGGGCTGGATAGCAAAATAATTGCTTCCTTTGCTTGGAAGCCAGCCCCTGTTACAGTCCTCAGACTTCACAGAATCACAGAATGGTTTGGGTTGGAAGGGACCTTAAAGATTATGTTGTTCCACCAAGGGACACCTTCCGCTAGACCAGGTTGACTTAAAGAGAGATCACCCTTTTCCAAGCTTTTTATATATTCTCTATTGCTGTAAAACTAGCACTGGTGTGTATGTGAATGTTTGAGAAGAATCAAAACCAGTGGTGAGCACAGAAGGAAGGAATGTACACCACATGTGCACACCTGAGGGGTCTAAAAAACTAAAGCTCATCAATGTCTAATTACATCACTGCATATCCATGGGTAAGAAGGCTGAAGGAAGAACTACTCACTCTTCACTTCAATGAGTACCTACAGCTACTACAACTCATAAAAATGCAGATTCCTTTCCTTTTTTTTTTGTCCTAGATTTAGCACTTCCTCTTAGTATTTGGACTTGACTACTTGAACCCTCTCTGTAACATTCTTTATGAAATCAGTGGTAAAGCCGTTTATTTGGAGTTTCTATATGAGTAACTGTGAGCCTGCTTCATCATTTGTTCTTTATATTGTCACCTAAAGTTCCCAATGAGAAATAGGATCCCGCTAAGTGCTGTCCAGTTTAAGTAAAAGACAACCTCTCTGCCATGAAGTAGTTTAAAACAGTGACTTTCAAGATCAACGTTCATTACAGACATAATTTTGTTTGATTTTTGTCACGCACCTGCCTGGCAGTTCCCTTATGGATGACGACAAGAGCTAAAATGCAACGGTCTCAAATGAAAGTGATTGTTACATAAACAGTTTGATTAGTTACGATACGGCACAAACACAGCTACAGTTTTTTAAAGACTTTTTTTTTTAACCTGATAGGAAAAACATATTCTTCTCCAAAAGGTTAGTGGAAATGCTTATTTTTGTGACTGATGCTGACTGCACTGTGTCAGCCGGAGGACAGGTACGGCGTCTCGCTGTGGTAGTTGTAGTCAGGGCAGACCTTCTGCACCAGTTTGTAATCGACGCTGTAGAAAGCGATGTAAATGCAGATGACCTTAAAGGGTTTGGAACACAACCAGGAGACATGGCTTTGGGTCTGCTCTTGGTAGCAGATCTTTGAAGGGTCGAAATTGCACAAGGCAGTTTTTTTAGCGCGGTCTGTTTTTTCGTACTCGATTCGGCAGTTGAAGGACTTGGATTCCTTGGTCTCCAGCGTTGACTGTGGAGATGGTTCAAACTCAACCACCTTGGAAGGTGGCACCAGGCTGACAGAAACATTCCCCAGACCCGTGGAGTTATGTCGGAAATAAACACTGAAGGTCCCATTGCCATGATCGACGATTTTCCCCGTGATCAGGAGGTTCAGCTTAACAGTTTTGATGTTAGAGTGGAAATCGCCCCATCCAAACATTTTCTTGAATTTCCCAGTTTTTACTATAGGTCTGCGTTTAGTTCGTGCCAGAGATTCCTGAACCTCCGTGATGTTGGACAACCAATCCCAAAAGTTTTCTATGCTGTCTGAGTAGGACACCTGGCCGTGTTTCAGTACTGGAGATGGCTTAACAAACAGGCGTAAGGGGTTGATCATCCTGGAGTGGACCACGTTGTCAACCAGTGTCTCTGCAGCATCCTTGTCTTCCCAGTCCAGCACGTCCGCAGCTTGTACGACCCGACTGGCATCACAGAATACCTGTTTCAGAACAGAAAGAGGGAGTTGTGTGAAGTGTGAAAATAAAATGGTCGAGATAAAAAAGGAGCCATTAATATTTATTTTTACACCAGTAGGGTCTGTATCAGTCTAGTCACAGGTGGTTTACTGTAATGAGTAATTTCTACTGCCCTGTGAAAGCTCAAGGATCTTACTCAAAATAGCCTGTAGAAGATACAAAAATCTCAACAGGAGCCATTCACTGGGGAAAACGAATAAACCTCTGGACAGGTTGATGGCTGTGATGTGCAAGAGCAGACAGACACCCTCTGCTCACAGATTTGTTAGAGGAAAACATGCCTGAAGAAAGTGGAAAACCTGAAGAGAAAAGTGGCCCATCTCCTAAAAGATGGAGTGAAATAAAATAGTGGGATTTTCCATTCCCCTTTGTTTTTCTCCCCACTTAATCTCCCAACTGCTTCAGGCTTAAAATCCTTTTCTGCTGGAATAATTGTGTCCTGAACTGTTTAGTGTACATTTGTCTTTTCTGGTGTTGCCTTCTCCATTTTTTCTAAACTTAGCCTGCGTGTTTGTGCTCGCAGCTTGACACAACAAAAATAACCATATTTTTGGTGTGCTGATTTCAGCTGCTCATCTGCCTGTGTTTAGCAAGGCCCAGCCTTCCAGAGGTGCAGAGCAATCCCAGCCATGCAGCACAGCTCAGTTTTGGGAACCATGACTAGGCCAAGCTAAGTCTGCAATCAGAAAGCAAAAAATTCCTTCTGGTAGCAACAGAATGACCTTAGATTTCAGAGTTAAACATGCAACAACAAATTCCCAACTGAATGTAGAGACACATTTCCCAAGTATATTCTTCCTGTTCACTCTGGCAGAGAAGTCCTGTTGAAAATGCAGAACTGGAGCATATGTTTAAGAGGTCAGAAGCAGGATCTGTGTTTCAACGGGCTTGAAGTGATCATCTAACTTTTTAGGTTGAAATGGAAGCTTTGGAGAATGTGTTTTTAGGGTTTGTTCTCTTCAAGACTGTCTTACACCATCATCCTAATGGACGAAGAAAAACTCTTTCATCTGCAACTATTCTTACAAAATGCATGAACAGAACAAAAAGATGCTTAAAATGGAAAGAAAAAAGGACACTGTTGTCCTGCTCATGTCCCTGGCATTAAACTGCTACTGCCCCTTCCTCCTGGCAAAATGCTGCTCTTGTTTCATCATCGATCTGGCAGTGCCAGGATCCAGGTGGTGGATCCCACTATAACTAACACACAGGATGGGGTTTTCAGTATCCAGTAGCAAGATTACGGGGTGGAAGTTTGCCTAAAGCAGTCAAAGCATTGAGCACAGACACTGAATTGCATGGGGTGGGATTTTGTGCTTCCTGTCTCACTAGGGAAACTGCAATGCTGGGCTTGCTTTTCCCTCTGCTCCTGATCCCAAAGGGATCTTCTGCGCCTCTAGTTCCTAGAAGTGTTCCATTTCTATAATATCCAACTGTTATTTCTATAAATTGTAGTTTTTCATTTCATTATCTGGAAAAGATCAGAAACTCCAAAGCCTTTAATTTTCACTGGGGCCTGTTCTCCAGCAATAGACTCCAAACCAGAGCCCCAATCCACTTACCACATGTCCTTCCTGATCACCCCTAATGCAGTAATTAAGATTAAATGATGAACAGCGGCAACGTTCACAGCTGGAATGTTGAAAGGCAGCAATTGCTGTTGCTAAATCATAGAATCACAGAATGGTTTGGGCCAGAAGGGATCATAAATATACCTCATTCCAACCCCTGCCATGGGCAGGGACACAGTGTGCTATCCCAGGTTGCTCCAAGCCCCATCCAACCTGGCCTTGGACACTTCCAGGGATGGGGCAGCCACACCTTCTCTGGGCAACCTGTGCCACGGTCTCACCACTCTCACAGTAAAGAATTTCTTCCTAATATCTAATCTAAACCTGCTCTCCTTCAGCTTAAGGCTATTCCACTTGTCCTCTCACTTATTTATCACTATAAATAAATCCATGGCTGGATGGAAATGCAGCGGTCAGGTGCGTCTCTGCAGAAATATGTTATTTCCTTCCTCAGATTAAAAAGGAGGGAAGAAAAGACAACAGTGATCACTCTCAGCCTGAGACCTTGTATGTCAACTTTCTGCCTCTATCCTATATTTTTTTATGGCTGAGCTATGAACCCAGGAAAATAGGAGATTCTAATGGAAACAGTGATAGATGCTGATCTGTACCGGCCCAAATAGCACTGTCATAATGATGTTGGGGAAGCATCACTTCCACTGTGATGGAAAGCTCCTGGTGAAGCTCTGCCGTGTTTATGTGTGTTTTTTCAGCCACTCTTAAGCCTGCACAAGCCCAAAATCAGCCTGGTGATGCTAAGGACAGCTGGCCACCCCCATTACTAGGGAAACCACTCCTCTGCTGCAAAGCAGTGACTACTCAGATGAAGAAAGAAGTGCTGCACACATTTGCCCATCCTTCACCCCAAATCTGACCTGAGGCCTTGAGAAGCACAAAAAAGAGACTTTTCTGCTGCATTTCCAGATTGCAGTTGGGACCAGGGGCCTGGCAGTGCTGGAATATCAGAAACTTTCCTCTGTGTTTGCACAGCTAAATGATGTGCTACTTAAAATGCCATTCAAACCATGTGCACCTATATCTGGTATTGCTGTTAGTAACTGAGCCATAGGAAAAGTGATTGGAAATTTTAAGGTGAAATGATGTAGAAATGAAGCTGTTTGATTCACAGGCGGTTCTGGCTTTGCTTGTGTCTGCACCCAGCTCTGACTGTCCTCTGGCAAGGGCACAGGAACACACTCAGTTGTCCTTCTGGGCTACTTGTCTTCTGCAATGTTTATTGAAATCCCTGCAATGGCTCTTTGGCTTTTCTCCTCTCGCCTTTTATGAGGAGATCTAGAGGATACTGAGTCATGTGCTACAGCTAATGCTCAATGTATGTCTCTTCAGGGGGCTCTCACTCCAAATGAGAAAGCAGGGCATTGCTTTCCCGACGGTGCTTTGCTGAAGGCTCTGATAGAAAAAGAAGAAATATGTGGGTATAAGGTCTGGGCTGGCGGAAGGGTGGGAAACATCAATGCAGCTACAACCAGGTGGGTTTGCCACATCAATAACGTATTAGGGCACAAGTATTTCAAAACCGTGATGGTGAAATCGCAGAGTTGCATTGTGCTAGGCTACTACTACTTTTATTTATGTATGTGTTACACCAAATGAGGTGTACTCATGGGATAATGAAACACACCCCCGGAGGTACAGTGACCTGGGCTATTTCACGTGGCAACACAACAGCTTTCATAAGACGGGAACATGAAATCGTTGATAAGTTGAATTATAAGGACGTAATACCCCTGTTTAAAGCCCAGACAGCAATCGCCAGCCACTGCTAAAAGTTGTATCTTGCATTTAAGTATTTTTTTCCTCCTCCTCTTTGAACTACTTTTCAGGCTGTGGGATTCTCCAATGTTGCCCAGCCTTAATTTTTGACTCTGATCCATCCTGGTGCTGTCTTGTTTCACTGATTTCATTAGAGGAGCGAGATTCAGAGGCTGACAGAGCTGTCAGCTCAGTGGGCTGCAGGGAAGGGACCTTGTGGGCTCGAGGTGGTATATTGGTTGTGTTTTGCAAATGTTTAGTAAAAAGGTGTCTAACAAAGAACCACCCTGTTCTGCTCAGTGCCTGATTCAGGAGCACGAATGAGGGAGCATTGTTCAGAAATGTGAATAATAATTGTGCTTTTGTGATGTAAAACCTTTGTGGTGTGCAGATTTTTTTTCCCCTGTTTTGAATAAACCTTTCTGCAATATAAGAGAACCCAAAGGCCCTTCCCTTGATGGTCACATTTTGCTCCTAGCGAGAACAGGCCGATGCACTTTGTTCATATGTTTATTCACTTTGCTTTAGCAATTTCCGGGCAATAAAAAAAAATCTGTATTAAAAGAATGCAGCACATGCTGGAAAAAAATTACTTCCTCAGCATCTTTCCATTTCACTATAATGCATCTCTATAGTGAAAAATATTGCTGGTAGGGTATTTGAAAAATACTAGCTCAGGGAGGTTAGTGTGTCCATTTAAATAGATGGCTATTGCTGGAGTTCTCCTCTGCTGCACCTGCGTTTTCCCATTCCTTCCAAACCATCAATTTCCAAACAGAAGAAATCACCTAATCTTTTTCCCTATTACAGAGGCTGTAAAAGGGCACCCAGTTACCCTAAAATTTCCATTAGCCCGTAGATGTGTTCCAGTAAGAAGCACTGGGACCCATCCAGATGTGCTGTATCCACAGCGTGCCTTGCTGTTTTCTTTCACTACATAAGCCACGAGAACAGCTCAAAAAACCACCGTGATGTGGTTTATGTTTATGGAGTTTTAAACTTTAAACCTTTGGTTCTTGCTGTGCCCTTCTCTGAAAGGTGGTGACTACTCTTCAAAACCTCCCTCTTCCATGCATGATCCTGACCATGGCAGAGCCACACAGGGTTAAATAACATTTACCATGAGATATTTTTGAGAAATGAGCCTGCATTGTTGAGACACTGGTATCAATAAATGCTCTATTTTCTCTATTTGCCCAAATTTGGGTTCATTTGGAACTCATTCCCATGTCCTTCTCTGTGGGCAAGGCACTAAATAAAAGCAGGTGTCCCTGTGCAAGAGTTAATAAGTTTTGATGCTTTGGAAATTTTATCCAGGTTATTCATCAATCACCAGCAATTATTCCTCTGGCTTCACCCCTGCTAGGAACCATTTAAAAACTCTTGGCAATTAGCTGAAATGAACCAGTCTGTTGGAATAAACAGTTCTGAAGCACCATTTGGCCACTCACTGGTGCTGCTGGGAGCTTTTTATCCCACTGCTGGAGAGGAAGGGGTGGTGGGAGGGAGGTCGTGTTGAGTCACCTCCTCTTGCCCCCAGTTACACCAGTGAACAATTCATACTGGGGGACGATTCCAGTGGTCTCTTCACTCTCTGCTGCTTCTGTGCCTGAGTGTCC